AAAATATATTTTAAAAGAAAAACTTTTATAATTTTTTTTCTTAATGCTCACTATTTTTAAAATGTTTAAAGAATTTTCAGGATGTGTGTTCAAAAAGTATCTCCCTGTGGCTTATACTTGAATGACTTGAAATACGGTTTTATTATTTATGATGATCTTGAAACATGCATCCATCTCTGGTGCTTAGAAATACTACATTTCAGTTCCTGTTTAGTCCACCAACCATCAGTCCCACTGAACCTCATAGTGATGAGAAAACATTGAGTTTTCAGGCTTTCCACGCCTGGGACCCTTGATTTAAGAAATATTTCTCAGTTCTCATTTCTTCTTAGATGTAAATGAATGTGCAACCGGCTTCCATCGCTGTGGCCCCAACTCTGTGTGTATCAACTTGAAGGGAAGCTACAAGTGTGAATGCCGGAGTGGTTATGAGTTTGCAGACGACCGGCACACTTGCATCTGTAAGCACCAAAACCATTTCTTGTTTTGGCTGAAAGAGTGTTAAACCTTGCTCTTTAATTCATTAGTGTTTCCTCTTGTGCAGTACAGAAGCTCTGCTGTATGATTTCCTTGAAAACACCATTTATATCGAAATAATCCAAAGCTCTAGCTCAGTTACAGCCCTGATTTTTTTCCCCCCTTAATAGATATTTTTAGTGTTGAGTTACTGAAGGATGCTTATCCTCATTTGGGATTCCTGTGAGTCCTAGTATTTGGCCCAATCATGTAACAAGCCTATGAACCTCTCAAGTAAACACCCCTAGCTCTTTATAGACATCAGGTGCTTTTCAAATCAGAATGAAGTAGATGTGTAATTTAAAGACACTTCACTTATTCCACTTGAACAGCCAAGGAATTCCATCTGTAGTAGATATACCCTTTCTAGTGTTTTAAAAAAATACTTCGGACCTGAAATATACCCAAAAGAACTAGAATTCCGAATTCATCCCATTTATGGAGATAGATGATAATAGAGAAAATACACTTTTTAATTTAGTGGGATGAAAAAAGTAGCAGTGATAGTAGAAATCTGTGTGTGTACGTGTGTGTATAGCAATTGCTCTGGGGAGTTATAAACTTTAATCAAGGACTGTTTTGATAACTGACCTTTCAAGCCTACAATTTTAACTACACACCCAGACCAGCACTTCTCATAATATGCATTTGAACCATGTAGGAATCTTGTTAAAATTCAGGTTCTGATTCATTAGGTATGGACAGGGCCTGAGAACCTGCATTTCTTACAAGCCCCCACATGTGCCGATGCTGTGGGTCTGTGGACCACAATGTGAGCACCCATTCGCAAGCCTGAACTCTTGGGAATCCTTGCCTTCTTCTCTTTTCAGTAATTGCCCCACCTCCCAACCCCTGTGAGGACGGCAGTCACACCTGCGCTCCTGCTGGGCAGGCCCGGTGCATCCACCATGGAGGCAGCACGTTCACCTGCGCCTGCCTGCCTGGTTACACTGGCACTGGGCACCAGTGTACTGGTGAGTACCTGCAGGTCAGCTTCAGCTGGATGTACATCCCCACGTAGTTGGGACCTCTCCCTTCCTTTGACTTAAACAACCTTGGAATTGCCAGAAAAGAAACAGAGAAAATGTTGTTCCTTAGGTCAGAAAGGGGGGTGGGGAGCAAGGATGATACTCCTTGGACTTGGTTGGTGAGCATATTATGGTTCTTCTTGGTGGAGACACTTCTTGAGGGCTGGGGAGGCACTGCCTGCTTATAACCTTCTGCGCCTTGGAGCTAGCATTGAAAAAAAAAAAAAAAACCATTGCCGTGGAGTTGATTCCTACTCATAGCAACACTAATGAACAGAGTAGAACTGTCCCATAGGGTTTCCAAGGAGCGGCTGGTGGATTCGAACTGCCGACCTTTTGTTAGCAGCCAAGTTCTTAACCACTGCACCACCAGGGCTCCAAGAGCTAGCCTAGGATGGAGGAATTTAGGAAAAGTAGCATATTTTCCTTTCATCTTTGAAAGATGAAGTCTCCATCTTCCAATCTCTCCGGTTAATGGCTGAATCCAATACTTCCAGGCATACCCAATTTTTAGTTAGAGCCGTTTTCCTGGTTGAAGTGGTATTTTAAGCAATCTCTAAACACGTATATATTTTTTTCTCTATTTTTCTTCCTCTCTCCCCTTAAAAAGAGAGAAAGAAAAGAAGGAACTCCACAGATGTAAAAGGATGTTAATGCATACCTAATTGCTCAAAACTTTTCTCCCAGAAATCCAACTACCTTTAAGACTTTATACAGTATGTTATCAGAACCAGTAAACAAGAATGTAGGGCTGTCTCAGTTTAACTTTGTCAGAAATAATAGAACGTGTGAAATTGTTACTTAAAAACTACACATAACTCTCTGGGTAAAAATGTTCATGGAGCTGTAGTTAGTAGTACATTAGGAATTACACGGTGAATCTACATAAACCCTAGAGGTGTTCTAAACGTCTACAATGGCATCTAATTGGACTCAAACTCGATTTCATGCTGTTTGTCAGCAGCACCCACAAACTTATGGCAAAATGAGATACTGGGGATGAGAGAATGCTGGGAAAAGGGTTTTGAGTGGAAAAGGGTCCGTTTTGGGAATTTAAATCTAAAAGGCAGGCTTTATCCCCTCCCTGAACTGTTGCTTGCATCTGCCACTGTACACCGGGGCTCACTAAGCTGATTTACTAAGAACAGTCTTGTAACTTCTGGGAGCTGCTGAGCAGATCTAAACAGCATGGGTTCACCTCCCTCCTCACCAAATGTTTGATTCTTTTCTTTTCCCCACTCCTTTTTCCCTTTGGTTTCAGCAGGACAGGCTGACTAGACAAGCAGGCTGAAGCCTCATGCTATTGATGGAACAAATGTGTAAGGGCAGCACAGCCCTCCACTCCTTTCCAGACATGTCAGGCTATTTGGTATTGTCTGAACCATCCTCTTTAATTAACTAATGTTCCCATTTCTGTACAGAAGCTCTGCTGTATGGTTTTTTTGAAAACACAATTTACATTGAAATAACCCAAAGTTCTGGCTCAGCCCTATTTTTATTTTGTTGTTGTTGTTTTCCCCTAAATAGGTATATTTGGTGCTGAGTTATTGAAGGACGTTCACTCTCAGCTGGGATTCCTGTTTGTCCTGGTATTTGGTCCAATCATGTAACAAGACTATGAAGTATCTAATAAATACTTCCAGCTCTAGACAGAGGATCTGCATGGCACACCCATAATCTCTTTAAAGGGCCCTTTGTATGACTGAATACCCTGATCCTTTGATCTTAGATTTTTAACAAAATGTTGTACAATTACATCTTCGGCTTTATCTCTGTGCCACTTTCTTTTCTTTCCTTTTTTCTTTAATCTCTAAACCAAATTTTACTTTTAGGCTATATTATCCTAACGACGCATAGAAGCTATTTCTTAATTTTAGCATCTTTTCCCTCTGGAGGGTCTGAGAATTTTCAAAATCATCAAGTCCTGTTTCTTTTTTGTTTAACAGCCTCTTCCTCAATTTACCTCTCTCTCTCATATTTTACTATTGGCATCAAGAAGAAAGTAGGCAACACTTTCAACACTTTGCTTGGAAATTTCCTTAACTAGATGAATACATCAGATACATGTTCTGCTTTCTTTCCACATAAGTGCAGAAGACAGTGTTGCTAAGATTTATGCTTACATAACAAGGAACTCCCTTCTTCCAGTTTCCAAAAACATGTTCCTCACTTCTTTTTGAGTCCCCACTGACAGCATCGTCAAAGTCCAGATTTCTACTAACGGCCTGTTCTAGGCAATTTTTGCTATCATACTCTAAACATTGTTCCAGCCTCAGCCCATTGCTCGTTCCAACTCCCACTCCTACAATTTTAGTTATTTGTTATGGTAGCACAACATTTCCAGGTACCAACATCAGTAATAGTTTTCTATTATTGTATAACCAGTTACCCTAAAACTCAGTGACTTGAAACAACAAACATTATTATCTCACAGTTCCTGTGGGTCAGGAATATGGGCACAGCTTATCTGGGCTTCCTACTTCAGGGTCTCATCCAAGGGGTCAGCCAGGGCTAGGGTGTCATCTGAAGGCTTGACTGGGGATGGATCTGCTACCAAGTTTATTTATATGGCTATTGGTAGGATTCATTTCTTTGCTGGCTGCTGCCTGGAGGTCACCCTCAGTTCTTTGCCTCGTGAGCCTCTCCACCATGGCAGTTTACTTTATCAACACCAGTGAGAGAGAGTCTACTGGAAAGATAGAAGTCATAATCACGGACATGACATCCCCTCAATGTTGCTTTATTTTATTGGTTAGAAGCAAGTTACTTAAGGGAAGGGAATTACAGACTGTGAATACCAGGAGATAGGGATCACTGGGGGCCATTTTTGAGGCTGCCTACTACCCCAAGAAGCTGGATTATATGAAAAAGAACACAGCATCAGGATTGGAGGAAGACTCATTAACAACCTGCAGTGTGCAGTTTACACAACCTTGCTTGCTGAAAGCAAAGAGGACTTGAAGCACTTACTGATGAAGATCAAAGACTACAGCCTTCAGTATGGATTGCACCTCAACATAAAGAAAACAAAAATCCTCACACCTGGACCAATAAGCAACATCAAGATAAACAGAAAATATTGAAGCCGTCAAGGATTTCATTTTACTTGGATCCACAGTCAACGCCCATGGAAACAGGAGTCAAGAAATCAAATGACGTATTGCACTGGGCAAATCTGCTGCAAAAAAATGCTTTAAAGTGTTAAAAAGCAAAGATGTCACCTTGAGGACTAAGGTGTGCCTGACCCAAGCCATGGTACTTTCAGTTGCCTCATATACATGCAAAAGGTGGACAATGAATAAGGAAGACTGAAGAAGAATTGATGCCTTTGAATTATGGTGTTGGCAAAGAATATTGAATATACCATGGACTGCCAGAAGAACAAACGTATCTGCCTTGGACGAAGTCCAGCCAGAATGCTCCTTAGAAGCAAGGATGGCGAGACTTTGTCTCACGTAATTTGGACATGTTATCAAGAGGCATCAGTCCCTGGAGAAGGACATCATGCCTAGTAAAGTAGAGGGTCAGTGAAAGAGAGGAAGACCCTCAATGAGATGGATTGACACAGTGGCCACAAGGATGGGCTCAAGCATAGCAACAATTATGAGGATGGTGCAGTACCAGGCAGTGTTTCGTTCTGTTGTATATAGGGTTGTTATGAGTTGGAAGTGACTTGATGGCACCTAACAACAACAACGACCACACCCAGTTACAGTGTGGTTGCTTTCCAAGCTTTCAGATTGTGGAGGAGGAGAGAATGAATAGTTGTTTCCCTAAAGACCCATGCATATATCAGGTTGGACTAATCATGAAGGTGACTTGCAGAATAAGTATGTAAATATATATAATGATCTCCACAGTGTACGTGTGTCCCAGGGACCAAAGGATATTTGATGGAGATTCTCCTTTTTGGACAGTATGTATTCTTAAACATACATATTTTTATTCCATCAACTAGCAATAAGAGGGTACATGTGGGTTTTTCTCCAGGCACAGTTTGTTAAAAACCAGGCTCCCTGGAAAGACTGCACTTGGCTTTAAGTTCTCAGTCTTGTCTGAGTCACTAGCAGGAGGCTTCTATCCAAGTAGAATTCAGTCTTCTCTGGCTTCCCTCAGTCTGGATTGACTTAAGCCCTATAACGGTGTGAGCTGGATATTTCTCAGTCATGTTAATAATAGTTCTCTTTGTCTTTATAGGTCTCGGTGAACTTGCCAGGTGTAAAATCAGCTTGTCTTGAGTAGGGACTTTCCCAAGGAGGAGCAAGTCAGTGAATTGAGGAAGCTGGGTTACAGATGGCCTGTTACCCAGAGCCATTGTTGCTCAGGAGGGGAGGTGGTTGAATTATAGTCCCTCAGGTTTTCCAAACATGTTCTTTATTAGCTTAATGGATGATAGTGTGGAGAATTATGCTGGGGATGAGCCATCTTTCATTACCTAAATGGCAAAGGAGCTCTACTACAACTTGAACATTGTTGTCTTGACCTCCATGTTCTAACAGTCTCTAAAGACCATTGGCGGTAATTTTTAAGCATAAGTCACAGTCCCTCACCCCTAATCGTGCAGTAAGTAAAGCTCCCCCTTGCCAAGGGACTGAAAGTCTCTACTTTTTCTCTTCTGACACTTGACATCCTGTGAAATAGGAAAGAGTTCTCTTTCTTTATATAAAAGCTCTGACTCCCCCAAAGCCCTTCAGTGTTTGTACTCCTGAAGAGAGGCCACAGCCCACTCTGAGCTTAGGCCCTGGAGTGGCTGACTGGACTATAGTTTGCTATCATGGTGTGAGGTCCTCCAAGGAGGATGTCAGGGGCTTCAATTCAGCAAGCCTTAACTTTCTCTACCTTTGTGTTCAACAGATTTCTCACTGTGATGCCTTCAGTCTCTGATTCAGGGACTTTCCCCCCATTGGTCATTCATAAGTTACTGGTTACCCATGACTTTAGAAACAGCAGCAACAGCGTCTGTGGGGAGGAAGGCTGGTTTCTCAGGTTTGGACAGAATTCCTGGACCATAGGCTTTAAGAACATAAGAGATTTGACAACTCTGGAAAATTCCCTCTTCTCTTAGCTCAAAAATATCCAGAAGAAACTGCTTTATAGATTCCAGAAATAGGCCCTGTGTCTCAGGAATTCCTGCTTCCTGCCATTGCTTGGGATTCCTGTTACCATTAGAAGTACTTTTAGCATATGTATTGTGAATAGCTTTAGTTTCCTGCATTTGGCTGGATGTTGATACTTACAGCTTTGATTTTACAGCCTCTTCCAGGCCCAAGGACCTGGTGGTCACCAGCTTCACCAAACTTGGCATTTGAGTTGTCTTTTGAAAAGACAGAGAATCAGCCTCAAGGATAACCAAGCATGACAATCTAAAACTCATATTGATTATATTGGAAATAATGTTTTCATATTGTTTTAATTAGTTTATATTTCATTAACTGAGGAACTAAACAGACAACCTTGTTTGTATCTAATCTTGCAGATAAATTCATCAGTCTACTTTCTGCCTTTGTAGGTGAAACGAAGGTAACCAGGGAGGCCAACTGCTTTCCTAGGCAGAACCTCTCTGGGTGGTCTGAAACTTGGTTATGTTGAGCATTTAGGATTTAAGTAGCTGATTTATGCTGACTAAACTCTCCAGAGACTGAGGATAAGCGGAATGCTAATTTGTTAGTTACAATCTAGGAGATTCGTAGATCGTCTCTGTTTAGTGTCCAGAGTGTCCACTTACTGGTACCTGGGAAAACACCTTAGTCACCAGAAGGTGGCTCAGTAAGACTGTGGTCACAGCGAGGGTGGTGGGCATAATCCTAGGAATGTTCTCACCTGGGTTCTGGGAAGCCAGGTGAGGAGACACCCTTGCCCCTGGCAGAGTTCACATCAAATTCAGGGCTATATGTCTCCTTCATAGAGTCCCGGGCTAGCACAAATGGTTAAACACTCAACTACTAACTGAAATGCTGGTGGTTTGAATCCACCCAGAGGCATCTCAGAAGAAAGGTCTGGCAGTCTACTCCCAAAAAATCAGCCATTGAAAACCCTATGGACTTTACTGAAAAAGTGAAAAGACAAGTTACTGACCAGGAGAATATCTTTGGAAACCATATATCCATCAAGAATCTAATGACCAAAATATATATAAAACTTTGACAACAAAAAGATAACTCAATCATAAAATGGGCAAAGGGTTTGAATAGACATTTCACCAAAGAGGACATTCAAATGGCCACCAACCACATGAAAAGATGTTCAGCGTCATTAGCCATCAGAGAGATGCAAATCAAAACCACAGTGAGATACCATTTCACTTCCACTAGGATGGCTAATATTAAAAAAACTGAAAATAAAAAATTTTGTCAAGGATATGGGGAAATTGGAACCTCACCCATTGCTGGCAGGAATGCAAAATGGCATAACAATTGTAGAAAACAGTGTGGTGATTCCTCAAAAAAAACTAAAAATACAACTACCATATGACCTAGCAATTCCATTCCTGTGTATATACCCAAGAGACTTGAAAGCAGAAACTCAAATAGAAACTTGTATACCAATGTTCATTGCAGCACTATTCACGACAGACAAAAGGTAGAAACAGCCTAAATGCCTATCAACAGAGGAATGGATAAGCAAAGTGTGGTACATACATACAATGGGTTACTACTCAGCCAGAAGGAGAAATGAAGTCTTGATACATGCTACAATATGGATGGATCTGGAAGACATTTTGCTAAGTGAAATAAGCCAATCATAAAAGGACAAATATTGTATGATCTCACTTATATTAAAAAAAAGAAGAAAAGGCAAATGTATAGAGAACAAAGTTTATTAGTGGTTACCAGGGGTGGGAGGAAGGGGAAATGGGGCGGAGCTGATGGTGAAGGAAATATCTCATTGATTAAGGGTAGGGTTTTACAGCCGATTATTATAATTGCTGTGAATAAGTTGTACACCTGTAAAAAGCTGAATTGGCAAAAGTTGTGTGATATATTTACAACAATGACAAAAAAAAAAAAAAAAGAGTAGCTGTTGAGGCTGCTTATGTACAACCAAACACCACATGGGATTTGGTTTCTTGGTTGGGAGGTTTATGGCCATGGTTTCCTGGTGCATCCCAGTTAATTGGCCTAATAACATGTTTAGTGCTTCTGTTCTACCTCCTAGTACATTGAGTAGTGTCTGGGGTCTTAAAAGCTTGCAGGTGGCCATCCAAGTCACAACAATTGATCTTTATTTGCCTGGAGCAACAGAGGAAGAAGGAGAGTCAGAAATAGAAGGAGAATATGGAATGTGTTGGTAATTGCCTCCATGAACAACTGCCTTTTTGCCATGAGACCTGAAGAACTGGATGGTGCCTGGCTACCATTAGTGAACATTTTGATCAAAGATTCTATAGAAGATCCTGATCATTGTAATATTGTTACATATAACAATGCAGAACAGAATTTCAAGTTCTCGTAGACTCCAGACTTCCTGGAGCCATGAAGGTTGGATGAACTCCTAAAACTATTGCCCAGAGATAATCTTTAAACCTAAAAACCAAAAATATCCCTTGAAGTCTTCTTAAAACCAAACAATAGTCTAGCTCAACTAGTCTGCCTTGAGCATTATGCTCTTTTAACAACTATCTATATGGGATCTAATTGAAAATAACAACTTGAAAGATTAGATGGGAACCTTGGGGAACAGTGAATTTATGTTAATGAGGAAGGAACAATTCAGAAAAGAAGGGTAAGAATTCCTTCACAACACGAAGAATGTAATCAATGTCATGAAATGGTACATGTAGAGTAGAGTTGGTGTATGTTTTGCTAGTATATTCTCAACAACAATAACAAAATAAAATTAAAAAAAGAAGACCCTATGGAACACAGTTCTCTGACACACATGGGGGCATCATGAGTCGGAATCATCTTGACAGCAACTGTTTTTTGTTTTGTATTTAAGTCTCCTGCTTCCCAGATCCTGTGTGTCTTTGCCATGGGCTGTACTGAATTGACACAATTCACATGTTCTGGTTCTCTCATTTTCTAGGTTTCACACTGAACATCCCATTCCATATTTTTTGTTCACACATTTAAAAAATTTTTTGACATTATTGCGGATATGACTACTGCATTGTTTTATTTCCAGTGACGTCTTGATTAGGTCTCCACCCGTTCTTTATCCTCTTTTTACTCTGGAAGACTTCCTCTCTCTTCAGATAGCTTATCTCATCCATTGAGCATCGGTTATAACAATTCAACTCACAGTTTTGCTACGGTCGAAATTTTCTGATTTCAGTAAATAAAATAAAAGGAATATAACTTCACTTTTAGAAGTTTCAGGATTTTGCAACTCTGAGAAATATTATGAAAATTAATCCTAATAGTACAATGTATAGTGTAGAGACCCAAACTGTATATGCTGATATGCCTGACAAATTTAGATTTTCTTTGTTACGTGTTATTTCAAAATCTCTGATAATATTTTTCTTGTACTTTTTCTCTTTCTTCTAAAAGTGGAAAGTAAAGAAAATTTCTGGTTAATTGGGGTTCTAGATAGTAGGACACGGATGAAGCAAGACTGAATGCCCTTCTAACTTAGTTGAAAAAGTATATGGAATCTCATCTGGGTCTTGCATCTATAAATGAATGTTTCAGGGAGACAGTGCCAACAATGAAAGGAAAAACTATTGTTACATATATTTATCTTTATTGTAGTGCTACTGAAAGGAATTTAATGATTTTAGTCTAAAGGTTAGTTCAAAGGTAATAACTTCCTGGAATTCACTGTAGTTAAAAGATGCTCTAGAAATATACTGCAGAATATTTTTTTCTGTGAGTGACCGACATGAGCTTGATTTCCACTGAGAATTCTCAGTCTCATGGATTAACTCATATGGTCCTCGACTTTTTTCTACTTGCATTTAGATGACAGTGGTTTTTCTGCTCCTGCCTGAAGTTCTTCTGAGCCCATTTCAGGCAGGACCTCTGAAGTTGACAACTTGTTGTTGATCCATGTGCATTTAGACCATGTAGTAGTACATACAGATAAGGAGCCCTGGTGGCACAGTGGTTAAGCACTCGGCTGCTAACCAAAATGTCGGCAGTTCCAGCCTGCCAGCTGCTCTGTGGGAGAAAGATGTGGCGCTCTGTTTAATTACGATTACAGCCTTGGAAACCCTATGGGGCAGTTCTACTCTGTCCTAAGGGTTCCTATGAGTTGGAATTGATTCAAAGGCAAGGGATTTGGTTTCAGTGGGTTTAGTAGCACAGGTGGTGTGCTAAGAAGTTACCCTGTTTCTTCCTTTCCTCATTGTCTCTCTCTGTCCCTGTTCCTGACCTCTGCAGATGTTGATGAATGCTCGGAAAACAGATGTCACCCCGCAGCTACCTGCTATAATACCCCTGGTTCCTTCTCCTGCCGTTGCCAACCTGGATATCGTGGGGATGGATTTCAGTGCACACCTGGTAAGGTTTGGGCACATAAAACTCCCGAGGTTTTTAATAGTTTTCTGCAGGACTTTGGCCCAATCTTGTTTTATTCAGGTTTGAGGCCTTAGTTAGTAGATTTTCCAAGCTTTAGAATTTTCCACAGTTACCTCTTGCTGTCTAGTTTACAGATAAAATGAAAGGGGTGGAGAGCAGTTGCCATGGAGTTGATTCCAACTCATGGTAACCCCCTGTGTTGCAAAGTAGAACTGTGCTCCATGGGGTTTTCAAGGCTGTGATCTTTCAGAAGCAGATCACCAGGCCTTTCTTCCAGGACACCTCTGGGTGGGTTTAAATCACCAACCTTTTGGTTAGTAGTCAAGTGCTTACCTCTACCACCCAAGACTCCTGGGTTTATTGATACCAGTTTTACTGAAGTTCACTAGTTATCAGCATTCTTAGAGGCCTGAAGTATGACCCATTCATCATCTTATCTCCTTTGCCTTGATGAGTACAAGTTAGGTGATTGAGGTGAAGTACTGAGGTGAAGTATTGAGTATTACTAAACAGGAGCTGTATACACTAGGGAGCCAGAAGGAAGCACCTGTGGTGACTGCTGTAGGGGAACTTGGCCAGCACAGTGTAGTTGAGTGACCACCATTGACATGGAACTTTTCAGATTTAAACTCTGGACCTCCAGGAATGAATGGGGTCTTACTTGTTTTCTCCAAAGTCTCTGGCGAGAAACTGTGGGTTGCTCTTCATTTTACCCAGATAGCAATAGGACTCTGAGGGCTGAGAGAGAGGCTGCTTTACTACTTACAGTCAACTAGGGTAACGTGTGAAAATTGGGGAGAAACTAGATAGATAGTGGCAGAGATAAAATGAAAATCCAGGACTCCAAAGTCCCAGGGCATTGCTATTTTTCCCATGTCATGCTATCTTCCAATTATAGACACAAAATTCTTAGCACAGGAGGTTGGCTGGTGAAAATGAACAGGTTGCAGCGCCTTTTATTTCTCCTTTTGTCTCCTTCTGCCGTGGACCCTGAAGACTCTGTCTCAGAACTGAAACCCTGTGAACACCAGCAGCGCTATGTCCAGGCACAATCTGCCTATCCTGGGTCCCCGCTCCACATCCCTCAGTGCGATGAGCAGGGCAACTTCCGGCCCCTGCAGTGTCATGGCAGCACAGGATTCTGTTGGTGCATTGACCAAGGTGGTCATGAAATCCCTGGCACCCGGACTCCCCCTGGCTCCACCCCGCCTCACTGCGGAGCACCAGGTGAGACAACCAGGAATCTTGTTCCAGCTTAGGCCTTGGGTTCCAAAGCAGAATGGCATTGATTGTGGGGTAGGTTATAATCCTTTCCCAGACTATGCAGACTCAGGGCCATTCAGCATCCTTCCACAGCCTTCTTTCTCCTGTTGTTGTTAGTTGCCATTGAGCTGGCTCTGACTCATGATGACCCCATATACAACAGAATAAAATGTTGCCTGGTCCTATGCCATATTCATGATCATTGGTATGGCCATTGTTGTGGCCACTGTGTATTTTGACTGCCTTCCAACCTAGGGTGCTGATCTTCCAGTACTATACCGGACAATGTTTTGTTGTGATCCATAGCATTTTCATTGGCAAGTTTTCAGAAGTAGATTGCCAGACTTTTCTTCCTGGTCTGTTTTAGTCTGGAAGTTCGTTCTGCTGATACCTGTCTACCATGGGTGACACTGCTGGTATTGGAAATACTAATGGCATAGCTTCCAGCATCATAGCAACATCCCAGCCACCACAGTATGACAAACTGACAGATGGGTGGTGGCTCCTTCCTCCTAGGAAGTGTATTTGCACAAATACATACACATTCATATTATAGAGATACATAGACATACACGCATAACATTTAATCTCTGTTATACACCAGATTCCATCTTAGACCCTTACGTAGTACAAGACTGAATGTTTAGTGTGTACGTAAGGCTGAGGACACTGCCCTGGATCGGTTATGGTAGCTTAGAGCTAGAGGATCTTGCCAGACTAGGCTTTTGTCCAGAAGGAAAACTGCCTTCCTATATAACTACCTCCCTTAACTGTGCCTTCTGAATTGCAGGAAACAGTCTAAAGGGTGTGTTAATATCAATAGGAAAAATAAGTATGACACTTGTAAGTGGATCCAACCAGTTTGCTCTAACCTGATAACCCTAGTCCACTCTAGTCTAGCCCAAGATGTCAACCGGTTGTCACTTTTGCCCCAACTACCTTCAGAAGAGACCCAGGGATCTGTTGCATTAGGTCCCAGGATCTGAGATGCTGATGATGAGCATGTCTGTTACCATCTGAGCCCTCCTCACCCATGTGGGACAAGGTTATGAAGTGCTTCCAGCTTATGCCAACAGTAGGCTTCTGCTTCATGCTGTCATGAATCTGAATTGTTCAGACATGAGAAGAACTTTATATTAATACAGAAGAACTTTATTATGAAGAGCATGGCATTGATTTGGTACTATTTTAGCCAAAATGATTCCTACATCCATTTTTACTATTGAGAAAGGGCTATAAATATTGGTCTTTGCTTTTAACATAGGAAATAATCCTTTCAATAGTGTTAATTGCTGTGGCCAGGACTTTAGTGTTCCTAAGACCCGTATAGGTAAAAATTGGTAATGATTTATCTAGATACAGATACTTTTATTCCCACAGTGATACTCCTGGTTCTTCTCTGTCCTCATATTTTGGAAAAAGATCCTACAGGAACAAAAAAAGAGTACAGATAAATCCTGTTTCATTCATGCTTTCTTTTCTTTAAAAAAGTCTTGGTTCTAACTCCAACTGAGATTTGAAGAAATCAGATGGCTGGGAGGTGCCTTAAGAGAACAGCTTAGAATTCTATTACATGTATTAAGACAAGCATGTGTGAAGTACAATGACTCAAAAGAGAGCCAAGAGACTGAGAAGTTAATAACTAAAATGAGGATGTGTTCTTTTGTGCAGACTCTTTCCCATGGACCCAGACTTCTCTCTTGGCTGGTGCTGTATTGGCCTTGGCTGCCATTTCTGATCTTTCATCTGCATAACTAGGTCAGCTTGAAGGAGAGAACACTCTGTGCCCAAGATTCCAAAAATTTAAACCCTGGTTGTCTTAGTCATCTAGTGCTGCTATAACAGAAATACCACAAGTAAATAGCTTTAACAAACAAATTTATTTTCTCATAGTTTAGGAGGCTAGAAGTCTGAATTCAGGACGCTGGCTCAAGGCGAAGGCTTTCTTTCTCTGTCAGCTCTGGAGGACGGTCCTTGTCTCTTCAGCTTCTGCTTTCTGGTTCTTTAGGAGATCTCCATGTGGCTTGGCATCTAGCTTACCCCATCTCTGCTTCTCTGGCTTGCTTGTTTAGTCTCTTTTATATCTCTAAAGAGATTGACTCAAGACACACCATATACAAATCCCACCTCATTAATATAGCAAAGACAGCCCATTCCCAAATGGGATTATAACCACAGGCATAGAGGTTAGGAATTACAACACTTATTTTGGGGGGACATAATTCAACCCATGACATTCCACCCCTTGGCCCCTCAAAATTCATGTCCTTCCCACATGCAAAACACATTTACCCCATCACATCATATCAAAAGTCTTAAATCAATTCCAAGTTCAAAATCTCATCTTCTGAATCATCTAAATTAAATATGGGTGAGAGTTTAGGTTTATTCCATCCTGCAGCAAAATTTCTTTTCAGCCGTGAACCTGTGAAATCTATATTACAAATTATCTGTTTCCAAAGTACAATGGTGGAACAAGCACAAGGCAGACATTTCCATTACAAATGGGAGAAATTGGGGGGAAAGAAGGGATAATGGGCACCAAGCAAGTCCAAAACCCAGCAGAACAATTTACATTAGCTCTCAAGGCTTGAAAATAATCCTCTGTTCTCTGAGACCATCTGGGCAATGGCCCTGCCCTTGAGACTCTGGACTTTGGCCATATCCTCTGGATTCTGGGTGGAGGCCTCTTGGCCCTGGGCTTCAACTCTGCCTTCCAGGCCCTCTGGAATGGCAACTCTGTTCCCTTCGCTCTAGGTGGCCCCATTCTCCTAGTGCATCTGAGGGTGACCCCACCCCCTTGGCCCTGGCAAGCCTTGTTCTTCTGCCCCTTGGACATGGCAGTCCCACCCCCTCAGCTTTTAGTGGTGGCCCCATCCCTCTGGTACACTTTAATGGCAGTGCCACACTCTGGAACCAAGTTGGCAAAGATCTGACTCTTTAAAATGTAGGAGCCTGTGGCCCCACCCTTTGAAACCAAGAAGGCCCTGCTTCCCATGCTCCTTCCAACAGTTCTGCTGATCTCTGAGCTGCTCCAGGGATGGTCCTTTTCTTGAGGATAACAGCTGTAGCTCCTTTGGCCTGTTTCCTGCCTATAGAATTCCAAGAGGCAGAAAACATTCTTTCTTTCAATTCTTTCTCTGTCCCCTTCAGTCTAAGCTGATGGGTTTTCTGCTGTGGTAGTTGGTTATACCCGTCAGTCATGGGCTTAATTTCTTTAACAAAAGATTGTGTAGTCACAACCTTGAAGAACATCTAGGACATGTATCCTTAGTTTGTACAACAGAATTTTCTAAATCTTTAAGTTCTGCTTTCATTTTGCACCGTGCATTTTTAAGTGCTATCTCTTTCCTCTTGAATTTTACTATAAGCAGCAAGGAGAAACCACACAGCTCCTTTAAGATCTTGCTTAGAAATCTCATCAGCCAGATATCCAAGTTCATCACTTACAAGTTCTACCTTCCACCAAACATTTGAACAAGTTCAGACAAGTTCTTTGCCACTGCATAAAAAGCATCACCCTTCTTCCGTTGTCTAATCACATGTTCATCATTTTCTTTTAAAGCCTCATCAGAAGCACATTCAACAACCGCATTTCTAGCAACATTCTCTTGTTGCCATATGTATTCTCTAAAATGATAGAGACTTTCTCTGTAGCTCTCCTTGCTTCCTTTTGAGTCCTCACCAGAATTTCCTTTGGTGTCCATAATTCTACCAATGTATCTTCAAGGCAATCTAGACTTTTCCTATTAGGCACCTTAAAACTCTTCCAGTCTCTACCCATTACTTAATTCCAAAACTGCTTCCACATTTTAGGTATCTGTTAGAACAGCACCCCACTCTTCTGGTACCAAATTCTGTCTTAGTTATCTAGTGCCGCTATGACAGAAATACCACAAGTGGATGGCTTTAACAAACAGAAATTTATTTTCTCACAGTTTAGGAAGCTAGAAATCCAAATTCAGAGTGCTGGCTCTAGGGGAAGACTTTCTCTCTCTGTCAGCTCTGGAGAAAGATCCTTGTCTCTTCAGCTTCTGCTTCCTGGTTTCTTGGAGATCTCCATGTGGCTTGGCATCTATCTCACCTCATCTCTGCTTCTCTGGCTTGCTTGTTTAATCTCTGTTATATCTTAAAAGAGATTGACCCAAGACATAATCTACACTTGCCCTGCCTCATTAACATAACAAAGAAAACCCCTTCCCAAATGAGATGATAACCACAGGCATAGAGGATTGGAATTAGAACACATGTTTTTGGGGGACACAATTCAATCCATAACACTTGCCAACCAGAAGCAGAAGAATAATAAATCCATGAATGGGCTGTAAACTAAATAACTTCAAATAGTAAGGAATGAGAGGGATTCTCATGTGTACGTGATTTGAAGCACTTATTTCGCAGAAGTTGACTCTGCTGTGTGTCTGCATCCCAAACAAATAGCTCTGCCTAGGTGAGTGGTCCCTTAAACCAAGAATGAGTCCTCTGAGTTGGCAGTGTGGGATTGGGTGGTGTTGGAAGCTTCTCCAGTGAACCCCACCTTTGGTTCGATGGCTAGTTTTTGAAGAAGTGACATTTCTCTCTCTGGGTTCCCTGTGACACATTTGGGTAAGATAGTCAGGGTCCTACCTTCTCCATGAGGTACTAAAGAGGGTCATGAGATAGAGTGGCTCCTGTCAAACAAGGAGAGTCTTGGAATTGAACTAGATGAGTTTGATCTCTGAGGATTTTATTCACCATCTTCCTGATTTCTAAGAGAAATTGTAGGTGCATGGACCCAATTGTAATGTTTCCAGCTTTTCCTTTGAAGCCATTGGAGGGTTTTGAGGAAAGGAGTGACATGAAATGATTTAGTGTTTTAAAGGGACCGTTCTGGTTGCTGGTTGACCTTGCACTGGGGGGTGAGGAGGAGGGTAGAAGCAGGGAAACCAGTGGGGAGGCTATTGCAGTAATTCCAGTATGAGATGATGGGGCTTTGACCAGGGTGATAGGGGTGGAGGTGGCAAGACATGAAGATATTCTGACTGTATTTTGGAAGTAGAGCTGACAGGATTTTTTGACATATCAGATGTGGATAGTGAGAGAAAGAGAGGTACCAAGGATGAGTCCAAGGTTTGGGGCCTGAGCAATAAAACAGTAGAGGTACAGTTTACTAGTGTGGAAATGACTGGGGGTAGCAGGTTTGATGGGGAAAGCAAAGGCCCAGTTTTTGTTAGTTGTACTCTGAGATTCCTATTACATATCCAAATGGTGATGTTAAGTAGATTCTTATGAGTCTGGAGCCCATAGGCTTCGAGCTGTAGGAATTAAAAAGGATGGAGAAGCACCTCTTCTTATTTTTTTTCAAATTTTATTTATTTTGTTGTTGTTGTTAAGAATATACACAACAAAACATACACCAATTCAACAGTTTCTACATGTACAATTCAGTGACATTGATTACATTCTTTGAGTTGTGCAACCATTCTCACCCTTCTTTTCTGAGTGTTCCTCCCCCATTAACATACACTCACTGCCCCTAAGGTTCCTATGTAATCTTTCAAGTTGCTGTTGTCAATTTGATCCCACACAGGTAGCTCTTAAAACAGCACAACGCTTAAGATAGACATTTTTTTTACTAGTTCAGCTACAACTATTGTTTGGTTTCAAGAAGACCTCAGGGGCTTTTTTTGGTTTAAGGTTTAAAGATTATCTCAGGGCAGTACTTTCAGGGATTCCTTTAGCCTCCACGGCTCCAGAAAGAAGCACCTCTTTTTATTTAAGGTCCTGAGGTAATACTGTCATAAATGGATGGAAAAGCTTTTCCAACAGAGGCTGCAACAGATTCATGTGCAGGGTGGGGCAGGCCCTTGATCGCCCTGCAGAAGCAGCCTGGGCAAAAACTGCAGGTGGCTAAACTGCTCTGCCTGAGAAGCTCACAGGAGTTAAAATGTGGTGGTGAGCTGGGAAGGAGGGGTGGGAGGATGCTGGAGAAAGGAGAGGCAGAGGAGTGAGGCAGGAGGCTGGAGCCAACAGAAAAAGTTTTGGCTTTGAGATCGTTTCATAGCCAGGCAGCCAGAGGACTTCTAGAAATGGAGTCAGTCAGTTTTAAGTTGTTTGTACCGTCTCTGCTAGGTGTGCACACACACGTGCATGCACACACACATACATACACACACTACACCACAGTTTTATTTTTACTCAATATATTTTTCCAGTGGACAGATACTGAGGGTCATACAAGTAGGGCGTTCAGTAAATATTTCCTAAGGCACACACTGGCCAGTCCCAAGATAACCCTCTCAGAAGCAAGTTCTGGAGCAGAAGCAAGTAGGAATAAATAATTGCCTTTGAGTGTCATGTAGGCCACTGGGTCCCCAAGGAAAGTCTGCACAAGTGCTCTGTGAGCAGAGGCCAACCTGGGCCTCAGTGGGATGGCCCCTGTGGGTCTCTGCCCCTTCCCAGACCACGTGAGCCCTGCGCCCCTGATCTCAGCTCCACTTGGTCTTTCCTTATGTGGCTGGGCCTTGAGGACAAATCTTCCTGGCCTGGGAGTCAGGAACATCAAGACAACCCCTTCTCCTGAACTGGAAGAGAACTTCTCGAAGCACATGTGCTGCCCTGGCCCAGCATCCAGGGGCTGGCTGAACCCTCTGTTAGCAGATGCTAGGGGAGGGCGGCCAGGTGTGGGGACCTTGAGCGTACATGCTGCATGCTATCCTTGGCCCACAATCAAAGGCTTTTCCTCTCTGTCTGCTCAGAGCCCACCCAGAGGCCCCAGACTGTCTGTGAGCGCTGGAGGGTGAGCCTGCTGGAGCACTACGGTGGCACGGCCCGCGATGACCAGTATGTGCCCCAGTGCGACGACCTAGGCCAGTTCATCCCCCTACAGTGCCATGGGAAGAGTGACTTCTGCTGGTGTGTGGATAAAGAAGGCAGAGAGGTGGAGGGCACCCGCTCCCAGCCAGGCACCACCCCTGCATGTAAGCACCCTGGCCAGCCCTTGCTCACCTTAGCTGCCTCTGAGGGCTTATTCTGTAGGAGAGCTGCCTGTTGTGGGCAAAGGTGGGGAAGTGAGGGGCTGTGTTAATTTATAATCTGGTCCACCCAAGATCCCAATTTGGATGTAATGTTTGGTTTTGTTATTAGCAGTTTCTGTAATTAGAACATCTGGAATCCAATTCAACATGTGATTACTACTCCCTTTTCCCAGCCCAGGGCAAAAGGGGACATGTGTCACCCTGGGGCCCCAAAGAGTAGCTGATACAGTACTGGCTCTGGTTTTTCCCTTTTAAAAAAACAAAACAAAACAAAAAAATAAAATAAAAACTGCTTTGTTCAGAGGGAAGTCTTTCGTTGCTTTCCTCCTTAGTAATTGGCAGTGATTTACATAATTGATCCTTCAAAAAAAAAAAAAAACCCTAAAAATTAGAATTTCATTTTAAGAACATCTGGAGCACATCTGTCTAGGGTGAAGAACTTTTGATGTTCTTAGAGACTCTGGTATGTGGGAAAGTCATTTTTCTCCCCTGCCCTGCCCTTGTTTCCTTTCCTCACCCATCCTCACATCCTCTTACTCTTTATGGCAGGTATACCCACGGTTGCTCCACCCACGGTCCGGCCGACCCCCCGCCCTGATGTGACCCTTCCCTCCGTGAGCACCTTCCTGCTCTATGCCCAGGGCCAGCAGATCGGCCACTTGCCCCTCAACGGGACCAGGCTTCAGAAGGACGCGGCCAAGACCCTGCTGTCACTGCATGTAAAGTGGATTCCTCCTTTGTGGCAGGGCCGAGGCGGGGCTTCCAGAAGGCCTAGTGCAGGCCACCTCTCAGGGCAAGGGGCTGGGTGGAGGGAAGGCTTGAAGGGTTTCTTGGCTGCAGTCCATCTTTATGGGCCTGCCCCTACCCCTGCAGAAAGTGGTGCGCTCTGTGGCTGGGAGTCATCTCTGACTGACCAAGTCTGTTGTGTCCAGCTGGTTCACAGGGTTTCAGATATATGGAAAGGGAATTCCAGGCTTGTCAGGATATGGAGGCAGGATGGTGATCCAAGGAAGAATTGACAAGATCTTAACCAAAGTCCCCAGGGTTCTCTCCTTGCCAGAGACATCAATTTCCACAGAGATTGTGGAAATCAAAACTGCAGAAACCGTCTTTCTGTGGTTTCTGTGATCAGATGATAAACCCCAAGTGGAAATCAATTAATCAAAAATCAGTTAATGATTGCTCTACTGTTGCAATCCCCTCTCCTCCCATTTTGTTCTGTCTCTGTGATAGGGCCTCTTTCCTTACTTGCTCTGACTCCTCTATAGAGGAAGGTTTGGGGAGAGTCTGAGGCTGGGAGAGGACTGAGCTTTCCCTGAGGGATGGATGCTTGCTGCTTCCTGAACCAGCAGCCTCTGTTGCCACTACACTTTAGAGAAAGGGATTTCTTCTTTAGAATGAATAAAAGAGAAGGGGGCTGGCCCAAAGGCATCCCACTGACACTTACAGTGGATTATCCTTCGATTCTATTTCCCAGCTTCATGCTCCAAACCAAACCAAACCCTTTGCTGTCAAGTCAATTCTGACTCATAGTGACCCTACAGAACAGAGTAGAACTGCCCCATAGGGTTTCCAAGGAGCAGCTGGTAGATTCGAATTGCTGACCGTTTTTGGTTAGCAGGCGAGCTCTTAACTACTGCACCACAAGGGCTCCAACTTCATGCTCCAGGTGCTTGTTAATCCATGAGAAAGAACAGCACAGTGTTCATGTTTGTATTTACTTCTGCTAACGAACTAACTCCTTACCTGGTTCCAAAAAGTTTATAAGCAGCCAATGCTCACAAAAAGATGTGTTCTTTCTTCTTAAGATTTGAGGTTTCCGCCCCCCACCAGCAAACACTAACGTGTTATTTTGTAAAAGTTTCTCTAGAAGAGTTAGAAAGTAAGAAATTGCTGTCACCTCAGGCTAACCATCTTTCTATTATAGCCAAGTCAGATGGCTTAACTTCATTTCTGAAAGTGCCCCTGATGGGGTGGGGTAGTGGTGGTGGAACTGACAGAGAAATGGGACATGGGTTATAAGTACATATTGGAAAAATGTACTTAAACTGGGATTTTTTTTCCTCCAAGGAATTTTGAACTCATTACTTGGGTTAATGAATCCCATGATTCCCTGGGTTAATGGAGTCACATGGATGGACCCTCTTGCCTGGGACAACTCACTTTTTAATCCTAATTTTCAAGTAAAATTGTAATTGACCTCTGGATCCCCCCATATAAACTGCCCACTTTTCCACAGGAGTCAAATCCTGCTTCGTATAGTGTTTCTTGTGCTGAGTACGCTCCCAGAGGCATAAGTTGAGCCTGGCCCCAGGGGCTATGTTAGGCAGGGAGGGAGCTGGCACAACCTTGGGGACAGCCAGATTGCCTCTTCATGTTGGCTTTGCACATCTGCTGGGCTGGAAGAAGAATGAAGCAGTTGTGGAAAGATCAGACTCAGCGTTTTCACAAAGACTGTCATTTATTTAGAACTTCTCTGCAATAAGGAGGGGGAGACCTCTAGCCAGAGGTTGGGAGACTGCCATTCCCCAGTTCCTTAACCCATCAAATTATAGACTTTCTTTTATACAAGAGTACAACCTAAGTTGTATAAGAGGCAGAAGTAGGGGTAAGGGTGATTGCACCTTAGGTAGAGGAGAGCTCTCATCACGCACAGGAGTGGGGAGAGTTGATTTTGTTTGCGCATGTTGGCAAACTTTAGAAAGGCTCTTTCAAAAAGGTACTGGTTCTAAGACCAGAAGAACTAGATGGTGTCCAGCTGCCACCAATTACCGCCCTGACAGGGAACACAAAAGAGAGTCCCTGATGGAGCATGAGAAAAGTGAGGTGCAGAACTCAAATTCTAGTAAAAAGACCAGACTTAATGGTCTGACTGAGACTGGTGGATCCCCAGAAAATGTGGCCCCCAGATTCTCTTGTAACCCAGAACTAAAACCATTTCCAAGGCCAACTCTTCAGGCAAAGACTGGACTGTGGGACATAAAATGATACTTGTGAAGAGTGTGCTTCTTAGCTCAAGTAGATACAGGAGACTAAATGGGCAGCTCCTGTCCAGAGGTGAGATGAGAAGGCAGAGATGGTCAGGAGCTGGTTGAATGGATGTGGGAAATCAGGGGTGGAAAGGAGGAGTGTGCTGTCACAGTATAGGGAGAGTAATTAGGGTCACATAATAATGTATGTATAAATTTTTATATGAGAGACTAACTTGAATTGTAAACTTTCACTTAAAGTACAATTTAAAAAAAAAAAGGTGCTGGTAACATTTGAAAGTGGTCAGTTTTTGCACAGTAAAATATTAAGGGCTTATTTTGCTGAGGGAGCCCTGGTGGTGCAGGTTAAAAACTCAGCTGCTAACCAAAAGGTCAGCAATTCGAATCCACCAGCTGCTCCTTGGAAACCCTATGGGGCAGTTCTACTCCGTCCTGTAGGGTTGCTATGAGTTGGAAGGGCAACAGGTTTTATTTTACTGCGATTAACTTTTGTCCTTTAATCACTGAAGGGGCTGATTTTTTTTTTTTTTTCATGTAATCACTTTTAACTGCCAACAGTAATAGCACTTACTGAGGTCTTATTGTATACTAATTACTGACTAGGGCACTTGACAAGCATTGATGTTAGTAATTCTCACAACAACCATATGAAATAGGTACTGTTATTACCCTCATTTTGCATATGAAGAAATCAAAGTTTAGAGAGGTTATGTACCCAAAGTCACACAGCTAGTAAGTGGCCAAGCCTGGCTTTGAGCCTAGGAAACCAGCCTCCATAATCCACATGTCAAACACTCTGCTTGGCTGCCCACAAGACCATAGTGCAGGGTTGCTCACTGCAGCTGTGCATGAGCTAGGCAGCTGAGCATAAACTTGGAGGACATTCAAGGAGTCCTAATTCTTCCAATTCTATGTTTTGGTCCATGAAGGGTTCCATAGTCGTAGGAATTGACTATGACTGCAGGGAGAGAATGGTGTACTGGACAGATGTTGCAGGACGAACAATCAGCCGCGCCAGCCTGGAACCAGGAGCAGAGCCCGAGACGATCATTAACACAGGTTAGCAGCTTCACAAAACAAATCTGCATCTCATTTGATTCTACTAAATTGAAGTTACTTGTCTATTTTATGCTGAAGTCTCACCTCTCTTTTCATCCAAACAAAAAAAGGTTGCTGTTGAGTCAGTTCTGGCTCAGGGTGGCCCTGTGTGTCAAGAGTAAAACTGCTCCTTAGGGTTTTCAATGGCTGATTTTTCGGTAATAGATCCCCAGGCTTTTCTTCTGAGGTAAATCTGGGTGGACTGGAACCTCCAAACTTTTGGTTAGAAGCCGAGCACATTAACCTTTTGCACCACCCAGGGAAGTTAAGTTCTATGCGAGTTACTTTATCGAGCTGTACAAGACTAGCCCCTCGGTAAACAAAGATATTTATACATAAGGAATGAGGTGATGGAAGACCTCTGGGCTTCTCATAAGAAAGGGCTTGAAGTAAGAATTCCGGATGTGGCAACAGTTTATGCTGCCTGTTCCCAGTACTGTGGCTGCCTAGTGCCATCAGGCTGGTAGGTCAGCTAGTCTCGAAGAAACTAGAGACGGCAGAAAAAATAACAAAAGGATCTGTTTCTCTATTAACCTGGTTCTTGGGACTTAGGCACTCTCAGGACTTTTTTTTTTTTTTTAAGGTATTTCAACATAGTGTATCTCTCTGCTTCACGTTTACCCTTCATACCCCGCAAATGCTCTAGTCCTGCCTTTGTTCTATTTTCAGGTCTGATAAGCCCTGAAGGGCTTGCCATCGACCACTTCCGTAGAACCATGTACTGGACGGACAGTGGACTGGATAAGATAGAGAGTGCCAAGCTGGATGGCTCTGAGCGCAGGGTCCTCTTCCACACGGATCTGGTGAATCCCCGAGCCATCACTGTGGACCCAATCAGAGGGTCAGCTGGCCTTTCCTAATTCTCCTGTTAGCTGTAGACTCCTGAATGGAAGCCCTTGGATTTAAAATGCAGTATGGGGAGGGTCAGAACAAGAGAGTAAAAGTTCAAACTTATTAGTTTAACAAATACTTATTGGTATCTACTAGGTGCCAGGCACTGTTCTAGGCAAAGACAAGGTCTGTGTTTTCATGGAGCTTTTATTCTATTAGGAGGAAGTAAGAGTAAATTAACAAATAAACTAACAAGAAAAATATTAGACTGTGACATGGCATGTAGAGAATTCAGATAGTGTTGTGAGTGACTGGGGCTACTTGGTCAGATTATCAGGCAAGGCCTCTCTGAGGAGCCAACACTTAAACTGGAAGGGAAATGGATCTCTTTCAGCAACACATTTGAGAACCATAGTGTCGAAGCTACTTTACCTCTAAGGTTTACCTCCATTAGACAGAATAATTAGACATCCAATGCCAGAGACACCAGTTCTTTGGCAAGTGGGACTCTTTACAGGGTAGTTCCCAACACAACACCTAGTTTGCCTCAGAGTAAGTGAGCAAGGGCACCCGAGAGAGAAGGCACAGTCTTTTTGAAGCCTAATATTGGAAATGACATCCCATTACCTCTGCCACATTCTATTTGCTAAAAGCTAGTCACTAAATCTGGCCCACACTCAAGGGGATTCCTTAAGTATGTGGCGCTGCTTACCACAGGCTATCTAGCTATTCTTTACAATCTTGATTTTTAATTTATCCACAGCAACTTGTACTGGACAGACTGGAATCGAGAAGCTCCTAAAATTGAAACATCTTCTTTAAATGGAGAAAACAGAAGAATTTTGGTGAATAAAGACATTGGGCTACCCAATGGTTTAACATTTGACCCCTTCTCTAAACTGCTCTGCTGGGCAGATGCAGGTAATACTACAGATCAAATGCAAATAGATAACTCTTAACTACAGTAGGTGTTAGCACCAGACAGATTTTACTACAAGAGCAAATCCCACCATTTAGATCGTTTGGCTTAAATTTATGACAGTACAGCAGGTAATCTATTCCTTTGTTTGGTCTGTAAACTTTTATTTAAAGAACATTTTGTAATAATTCTTATAATGAACTTTGTGGGGTTTGGGGTGAGTTGAATTAGCCAGTTAAGTTTGAAGGCTAGGCTAGTACTATTTCCAACTCATTTTTGTACTGCTTTGCCCTGTTAACAAGAGGTTATCCTTTTCCTCCTTTTTTTTTGCTAGTGTTATAATTTACTCATAAATATGTTACTTTACTATGACAGCTACTGTGCTGCTATGCCGAGAACATTATTTAAAAAATGATGTGGTAGGATGGCTTCCTTCAGTAATAAATTTGGGTTGCTTATACCTAAGTTATTTACTTCTGTCATGTGCTTTTCATTCTTAGCACAACTGAAAGGATACTGTATGTCTAGTTCTATACTAAAGAATATGAAAAAGCCTCTTCATGAATAATTTATAGTCCAAATGAGCATTTACACTTGTCTAAAACAAGTTAGTCTTTTAAAATATTTGAACTTTAAATCAGGACTCCATGAGAAATGTGAAACTTGTAAATTCTTGAATGTTGAACTATTATAATTTTTTTCAAAACTACTTTGTTTGCACTGGCCAAACTACATTGGAAAATATGAGCCACGTTACCATTTTTTTTTCCCCCAATCTAGAAAATAATATTCTTTTAAAAATATTTAGATTTTGGTAAAAAGGCTGCCATAGCTACTATACATTGCTTATAAGGACAAGTATTTACCTCGATGTTGTTTACAATTTATGAGCTAAGTAAGAATTGATATATAAATTAGAAAAAATGCTTCTATGGTCTGCTTTGGGAGAAAACTTAGCCAGATTTCAGTAAATTCAGTCCTTTCTTCCAAAAAAGAATTAAGAGTTTGAATGCTGTTAAACACTTGAATGCTATCGAACAAAACTGGGGACTAGTAACAGGAAATTTTAGTTGCTAATTTTTATGACTGCAATGGGAGTGAAATACCGTTTCCTATTCTACCTACTTTCCTCTGAGAAGCCATCTACCTGCAAAGGAGCTCCCCGCCCCCCACCTCCATGGCATAAAAGGCTCTCATTTTCCCTTTGCTGTTTTTAAAAGGAACCAAAAGACTGGAGTGTACACTACCTGATGGAACTGGACGGCGTGTCATTCAAGACAACCTCAACTACCCCTTCAGCATTGTTAGCTATGCAGATCACTTCTACCACACAGACTGGAGGAGGTGAGCCCAGCCCTCACGCTCGGGACTGAAAAGGCAAACTGTTCCGGAGGACGCACCAGCTGTTCTACCAAAATTCAATAAGTGACTTTCCTAATTAAGGCCTCTACAGAGGTTTTCATTTCATTCTCTTCATTAATAGCTGGCATCCTTCAAGTATTCCTTCTTTTAAAGTCATGGTTTTACTTCATACAGAAATTTAACAGTATTGCTCACATGTAGCTTGAAGTAATGAACTAAAAAGGAAGTGCATTAACCTAAATCTGATCTTCAGAAAATAAAAAGACTACCCCCTTAAGTGGTACCATGACGTATATTATACAGTTTAAGCTTTTTCATTCTCTTTATAACATTGTGGTCATATTAATTATCCACCTGGAAAACTAAGGAATACTGTAATTTAGACTAAGTTCTCAAATAAGGAACTGGAGATATTTAAAATAATAATACATATGCCTTGTCCCCTTCCACCATTTCACCTTGAATTCTGAGTTAATTGGTTTGGCATGAAGCCCAGGCGTCAGTACTTCTAAAAGATTCTGAAGTGATTCTGTAAAAAAAAAAAACAAAAAAAACGTGGTGGCAGAAGCATCTGACCTCCTCTTAACTTCACAAGGGGGAAGGAATATCAAAATCAACAGCCAAAGGCTGATTCCTGAGGTGGAGGTCAAACATACTTCCACCCTCCATCCTTTTTACTAATTTTGACATCAGCCGTCCCTCCCAAGGCACTATTTCCCTGCTGGTTCGATAATTCCTTGCAATGGCCACACACAACTCACAGACCACTCACTCACAGTTATAGGGTTTATTGGGGAAGTAACAGGTTACAATTCAGGATACAGTTCTTCGATCAGGACAGCCTCTTCTCAACTGTGACCACAGGCAGGCCTCTCTCTGGCCCTTATCCCCTTGGCCTAGCCTCTGCCCTGCTCAGTTAAGTGTTACGAAGCTTTTAAGCTCTGCCAATTAAGTGCCTGGAGGCACCCCACTCGCCCAGCAAGCCTCCTGTCCGAAGGCACTCAGCTTTCTCGCTCTGTGGGCCGGGAGCCTTCTCCTAACAGTTGCCTGCTTCTGCTGTTGCCATTTCTCTGCCATTGCTTCTCAGGTGTTACAGCTGTCTCCTGGGTCTAGGAGGGTCTCAGCACAGGGATCCCAGGTCTAAAGGACATGCTCTGCTCCCATCTCTTCTTTTTGATAGTAGTCAAGTTCCCCTCTGTTCTGGAATTGGCTTTTTTTTTTTAAGCCAAACTGACCAATCCCTTCGTTATGAGTTCCACAGACCTTATTTGAATGGTCCCACCCCCACAAGAGTGCCATACACCTTATCAGTAAGCTGTCTAATCCCTTGGTGAGCCACAAGCACCTTATCTGAATAGTCTCAACCAATATTTTGGTGAGAGTTGTAAAACCATGGCTAGAAAGACCATAAAAAACTGATCCATTGCACACAGATTCTAACATGCAGCAAGCGTTGAGGACCACTGATTTAGATAAATGGTTCTCAAACTTTAGTGTGCATCAGAACTACCCAGAGTACATGTTAAAACACAGATTACATGGAATTTCTGATTCAGCAGTTCTGGGGTGGGGCCAAGGAATTTGCATTTCTAACAAATTCCCAGGTGATGTTGGTTTGGGGATCACTTTGAGAACCAATGATTTAGACAAATCCTCTGTGTCTACATGAATCAAAATTCATTAGGTTAAATTAACTTTAAAAATGTATTCTAGAGGGCTGGCAACGATTTTCTCTATTAAAACTGTTTTTATCAAACCTCTGAAATTTGTTTAAAGAGTTACAAACTCACTCTTCCTTTGTTACCAGGGATGGTGTTATATCAGTAAATAAAGACAGTGGCCAGTTTACAGATGAGTATCTCCCAGAGCAGCGATCACATCTCTATGGGATAACTGCAGTCTACCCCTACTGCCCAACAGGTAATGAATATTCTTCAGGGTACTCCTTTGGGTTAGCAGGGCGGGGAAGGAATGTATCTGATTACCCCTGGACCCAGAGACTGGCTGTTGCTACTGGCACGGCCACCATTGCCTTCTCTCCACCACCAGTGAGAACCAGCTTGAGCTGAAACAGTTAATGGCAAACATGGGTGGGGGGGGCAGTCTGATGACCTTAAGTTACCTAACTTGATTACACACAAATAAAAACGGTCAGCATATTGGGATATTTCCCTTTTAAAAGATTTGTTATTGCAACCCTGGGTTACAAAATACTCATTGACTCCCCACCCCCACCCCCTATGCCTCTATTCTCCCCTTACAGGAAGAAAGTAAATGCACATTCTGAAGGAGGACTTGGAGTTTACAATCAGAATCTTGACCCTAATGTTTATTGCAAACACTAAAAGGTGAAGAAAGCGAAAGAGGAATTGGCCATTAGAAATTCCTGGACATAGAACAAGATGAACATTTTTAGTGCAAAAAGACTAAGTGTATTTTGTGAAAAGTTTATACCTCAGTCTTTACTACTGTATTTTTTAAAACGAACATTGCTATTGCTAGTTAAAAAAAAAAGCTAACAAATTTTAATTGTTGCTTGTTAAAGCAACTTCTTCATAAGCATTTATATCATATTTAAAGGTCAAATCCACTCAACTAAGAACCAGTTAGAGTATATTAAGACTCTAAATGATTTTTGCTATGGATTCTTTTTGGCTAAAAGATTAAAGCACACGTAATCAGTGTAAAAATACAATCCTAAAGATCACAAGCCTTGATGTAGTTAGAGAAGGCTCCATAGAATGGATGGGAAAGAGCCAACTTATTTATAGTTTCCCAACAAAAAGTTCTAAGTTGTTTTTTTTTTTTTTTTTTTTTACCTCTGCATCAGTGCATTTCTATTTATATTAAAAGGTGCTAAAATGATTCAATTTGTATTTTCTGAGCCTGTGCCTCTACAGAATTACTCACAGAAAAATACTACATTTATAAATGCCAAAGATATAACAGTTCTCAAGTTTTCTAGATTACTCCAATAAAATATTTTAAGTTTTCCTATGACTTGAGGATCTGTATGTCTCTGTGACAAAGTTGGGGGTTGACATGTACCTTAACCACAAAGGGGGAAACAAATTAATCATAGCAACACATAGTCCAAAAAAAAAAAAAAAAAATCCACTTTCCCAAACTTTATTAAAGAAAAAAAAGCAATGATGGTAAATCCTAGAACATAGTCAATTTTCTGGGATTCTTCCCTCGAAAATGTGACATTTGATTTCCAAACACATGCCAGAAGTGTACATAGTTCCCAATTGTACTAAGTAGGTGAGAGGCTGAAATCTTAAAATGTTCATCTTCCAACTTTTCCCAGTCTGTGGTCTGTCTTTGGATCTGCAATAATTGCCTGAACAGCTACTATGGCTTCATTAATTTTTGTCTGTAGCTCTCTGAGCTCTTCTATATGCAGCAATCGCAGAATTTGAGCAGCTTCATTAAGAACTGCATCTGTTTTACAACAAAAGAACACTGCATTAATAATTTTTTTAAATTTAAGGTTATTTATTCATTTATTCCCACCAAATATGCAAAAGTCTATAAAAATAGTTTGAATTAATCAAAGCAAAATCACTTACCTCCTGTGTCAAAACCAAGACTATGCTTGTCTAAAGCAACAGGTAAGCCCTTAAAAAAAAAAAAAAGACAATATGAGACTATTTATAGTTAAGAATAACATTCTCCTCTCATTTGAAACTGTGAAAAACAGCGCACTATTCTGTTGTTTTAACCCTTTTAGCTGCAGTGGCAAGGGGACTAAGAATTCTTTGTTTAAATCTGCTTTGTGGTGAGTGGTTTTCCTCCTACAACCAATTAGGAAAGAATGGCCCTTAACCATCTGGCAAGCACCATAACCAATCTAGTCTTTTAGACTAGGCCTATAAAGCCCTTTTGCAGCAGTGCTTTGTCACTACCACTATGGAAAGAGGGTTCAGCAGAGCTGCTGCTGGCCCATTTTAGCTACAGGAAGCAGTGTACAGGGCAAATGGAATAGGACTACTTTTAATATTATTTTCCCCAAGCAAGTTTATGTCTGAGCACATTAAATTCTGTCTTTACAAACTGGACAAAGCTATTTAAAATACATGCAACTTTTTTCTTTCCAGTTAGCATGCTGTTTACCAGATTACCTATATATAATTTATTTTTCAATAGTTCATTTGAAACAGTCAAGGAAAATGAATAGAAACTAAACCATTTAGAGCCAACTAGTCGGCACCTATACACAGACATACAAAAGACTGTGACTTTGATGATGCCAAGGTGTACAGACTTCACAGTAATTATCAAATAAGGACAAGCAGTCTGGACTTTCTGCTGATTATACAATATAAAACCATTACCATTAAAAAAAACTACCTATAATTTCAATGTTACAACTTCTAAGCTGTCACTAGTCAAATGCTTTGGTATTCTTGCCAAATCTATTAATGCAGATCTCATTAATTTAAAATAGCTGAAAATAAGGTATACAAATGAAGCAACAAATGTATATGAAAATACAGTGAGTAAAATTAAAGAGTAGAATTTTACTGAGTGGCCTTCTAGTCATTCTAGTACCAGAGGCTCCAATTTTTACCTTTGTCTGCCAACAGACCACCAAAAAACAGCTAGGCCTAAAAATTGCCATATACTGCAAATACTAGCTATGAACGGTTATAAATAAGAACACTAAACTGTAAGAGCCCAACTGTATTATTATATATATTATTATATATATTATCTTTTGACATGACTTGAAAATTAAATTTTATTTTGAAAACAAAAGCAAAGAGATTCAGCTATGCCTTCATCAGTACTGCCTTACAAACCAAAGGCACAGTTTTGCTGAATGAATGATTTTATTATACCACAACAATTTACTGTCTGTTCTACAGTGTGGGTGAAATAAGCTGATCTTTAATCCAATTTCCAGTGTCCTGATCCATACATAATTAATAAGCCAGTAAGAACCTTTAAAAGAAGACTAAGTGCTTTTCAGAGGCAACTGCATTGCCCTGGCATTAGTAACCCTTTAAGGCTGTTGCGCCTGGCTAAGGAGTCAGAGGACAGAAGGCATTGTTTAGGGTGGGATGCGGTTGGGAGGCAAAAAAGAGGAACTGGAATTCAGAATGGTGGCTGTGCAGAGGCCCTCACTGCAGCATCTACGCAGCAGGAGAGGGGCATTATCAGACACCTATAGCTGCTGATGCTAACCCCCGGGGACATTCTCTGCACTGCTCCACAGTCTATGAAACTATGAGGACACTTAGATTTCTGGTTCTGTAAATCTAAAAACCCCCTTTCCCCCAAAAAGTATTGTTTTTTATCTAACGGAAAGACGGCCATGGTGTAATGTTTTTTCAGCCTACAAAGCAAGACTGAAAGATGATAATGCTTCAGCCTTCTGCACCCCGAACCCTAGAGACCATTCTAGTACAGCCCTCTCTCCTTTACATGGGCTGATCTACTAAGCTCATCCAGACCTCCGCACATGGACCCTTGCCCCCACCTGCCATGATAAGAGCATAGTTCTTGAATCAGACTGCCTGAGCGCAATACTTATCAACTGGGTGACCTCAGGCAAGTTACTTTCTTATAATCACTTATGCCTGGAAATAGAATAAAATGAGAGGAAGAGAATCAATTCCTCTGAAAACACAAAAAAAGCAAGGACAGAATTTAGGCTGAAGGAGAAGAAAATATATGAGGAACAAAGTGAAGGTGTGTTGTTTTCAGCAACGAGTTAAAACGACCCATTAAGTTTCACAAAGACAAATGCCTTCAAATAAACTTCAACTGGGCATGTGCCGTGGTTTGTACTGGCAGACTGTGGAGTAGCAAAGATATGAAGTGAGAACAAAAAAAAAAAACACCTCCAGCAATTAGATACATCCTGGAACTCCTGCCAAAATTTCAACTTGCTTAAGAACTAAATTCAATCCTATCAAAGTAAGCTATTTTTTCTCTGGGCTATTCTAACATAGAATGAATATTTTAAGCTGCAAAATTTAAGCTATACATGCAAAGTTTAAACCCATAGCAATATCAGAAAAAATGATCATTAATAGTTCATTTATAATTTATAAAAACATACATACCTCTTTTGTTTGATTTGCTTTAGCAACTGCATCCTGTGTCAAGCGCTCCTGAACCAAAATGCGAATTGCCTATGACACCCAAAAATATTGTTTTTACTTTTTAAAAACTGTTTGTCATCCTTTTCTTCTGAGTCAGAAGAATAAAGTTGTTTAGTTTGATGAAGTCAGAATTACCTACTTCATTAACAAACCCTCCAATAAATTTTTAAAAAAATCTACATTTTCACTTTTAATATTTAATAAGAGATGCTCATGACAACTAACGTTTTTGCATAGACAATACAGGTGTATAGTACAAAATCTTAAAAATAGAGGAAACATGGTAAAAAGTAGGTTTCCTTCCCAATCCCAAGCCTCAGTCATCCAATCTGTCTCCAGAAGAACCACCGTTACCAGATTCCTGTGCATCCTTAAAAGACTGACATTACAAGCATGCACACACATGCACGCTTTTACCATAAAGGACAGCATGTCATACAAACTTTTCTGTGTATTGCTTCTTTTTTTTTTTACTCAACTGTAGTAAAGTGTTTTCAGACCTTTCAAAGGACACTATTAAAAAAACAATTACTATGGCATTTCATTATGGAAGATGCACGTGCATCCATACACACCCCAAGTTATGGGTTGATTTGTGTCCCCCAAGAAATATGGCCAAGTTCTAACCTCCAGTACTTGTGAAATGTGACCTTATTTGGAAATAGCATCTTTGCAAATGTAATTCATTAACATGAGGTCATGCTTGAGTAAAGTGTGCCCTAATCTGACCGGTGTCCTTGTAAAAAGAAGAAACACAGCCCACCATGTGAAGACAGAGGCAGAGACTGGAGGGATGCATCTAAAAGGTAAAGAACCCCAAGGATTGCTGGCCATCACCAGAAGCTAGGAGAGAAGCCTGGAACAGATTCTCCCTCAGAGCTCTCAGAATGAACCAACGCTGCAGATACCCTGGTTTCAACTTTTAGCCTCAAGAACTGTGAGAATAAATTTGTTGTTTTAAGCCACCCAGTTTGTGGTACTTTGTTATAGCAGACCTAGGAAACTAATACACCCCAAAAGCAAGATTTTTTTTCAGGAAATTTAAATTAGCAGGATGACAATTACAACTCAAAAGTGAGTGTGAAAACTTAAAAAAAATTTTTTAATTAAAATAATATAAACAAACCAAATGCTATGTATTT